TAAAATGTTGGCTCTTTGTTATTTAAAAGACATAAACCTGAAGACGGTAAAAGACGCTGTATGACCTCTCCACGAGAATCGAGTCGGTCACTGCCCCACATAGGATTGTAAGCATTAAAATCGCCTATAATTAAGAAGGGTTCTGGCAGTGGATCAATAAGACCTTCGAGTTCATGAATATGAAATGGGACATGTGGGGGAAGATATAACGACGCAATGGTAATGAGACGGTCCACTAAAACACGGGTTACCTCAGCTTCAAGTGGTGTACGAAGAGGAACCTCAGCACATGCTACTCCTCTCCGTACAACCACAGCAACACCACCAGTAGACTGGGCTGACAAACGATCTTTCCTAAAAACACGGTGATGACATAAAATATCAGTGTGAGTGTTCTTAAGATGAGTTTCCGGCAAACAGACAGCAACAGGCTGCAGCTCGTTCAGAAAATAATGAACGTCATCTATGTTTTGTAGTAGACCCCGGCAGTTTCACTGCAGGAAGCCAACATGACCCATTTGTTTGCTTGCTTAAGATGCAGTTAAAATGTGGGGTTCGTAGATGTGACCAACTACACAAAAGTTAGCTTGCGTTAATTGGGGCAGGGACATGTGGGTTTTTTTTTTTCTGATCCCCTTTTTCAGGGGCAGATTTTGTGCTTCCCTTGACAGGTGGAGGTGGTTCTGTCGGATCGACAGATACCTCCATGGCCTCCTCCTCCCGCTGGGAAGTGGAAGGAGTGGGCCCCTCACTGCTGTGAGAGAGAGTGGCGTCAAGCACCACTCGAGGCTTCGGCCCAAGACGATGAGGCATCGTCTTGGTACGTGGAAGTTTTGGTGGGGTCACCAGGGTCTGGGAACCCACAGGAGCCTCGCTGGGGGTTGGGGGACTGGTGAAGCACTCAAAATCTCGAGGACTGTACTGAGTGCCCACCGATGCCTTGAGTGGCGGCGCAGCCCCCCTGGCTGCTGCCACGGCATGAGTGCCTCCTTGGAGGAAGGAAAACCGTTTCCTTGCCTCAGGGTATGTCAGGTTCTCTTTTATCTTTAAAGCTAAAATCTTCTTTTCTTCTTGGAACTTTGCACAGGCTCGAGAGTAGGTGGGGTGGGAACCAGAGCAGTTGATACACTTGAGAAGTGTACCCTCGCATGTCTCGACTGGATGGTCTGTGCCTCCACATTCAGCACATGTTTTTCCTCGACAGGTTACCGAGCTGTGGCCAAATCTTTGGCACTTGAAGCATCGCCTTGGGAAAGGTATATAAGGGTGCACCTTGCAGTGGAGATAGCCTGCTTTAATGCTCTCAGGCAGTACGGTGGATGCAAAAGTGAGGACCAGATGCTTTGAGGGTCTCTCCTGTCCATCCCTGCGTATTGAGATTCGTCGCACAGCGACCACTCCCTACCCGGAAAGGCCCTCCAAGATCTCGTCCTCGCTAGATTCTAGAACGTCATCCTCTGAAATGACGCCCTGGCAGCTGTTCAAGGTGCGATGTGAAGTGACAGATACTTTGTAATCTGAGATCTTGTTAAAATCTAAAAGAACCACACTCGGAACTCTGTTTTGTACTTCAACGAGCAGGTCACCAGATGCTCATTTCTTTGCTTTAGAGTTTTGACCAATTAAGTTTTCTAGAGTCTTTGAAATAAGAAAGGGTGAAAGCTTGGCAAGTGGTTTTCCATTTTGTTCCGAATGTATTACCAGAAAGCGGCTGAAGCTATTCTGGGCTGTAGCTGATGAGTCATTGGTAACTACCTTGGTCCGGACCCTTTTCAAGGTCCGATCGGGGAAGGTTTTTTGCTTAGAACCCATATGAAGGGCAGAAACTTCGGCATCCGTAGCGCACCACCGACCGCGGAGTCCAACAAGGGGATAGGTAACATCTCATAACAGGTCTGGCTTGCCTGAGTATGTTACTCTACCAGTGCTACTAGGAAGCTAATACCAAGTGTGGATCAAGAGAGAGTTCTGTCGCCACCCAAGGTTAGCCCTTGCCGCCAATGAAGGTGAAAACGAAGAATAGGAGAAAGGAGGAAAGAGAAAGAAAATAGGGGATAGTAGAAGAAATGGCGACTGACAGAATCATCCTGGTCGGGCCAAGCCAGGACACCTGTCTACGGGAAGCGGGGGCCGAAGTGGTGTATTGCCTCACCCGGGGGGCCCCGAAGGGTCCAAACCTACCCCGGGTTCGGCTCAACCACCAGGATGCCTTTTTCCCCGGACACGAAAAAACCACGCGCAGTCAGACGTGAGTAGCCGCACTCAGCTTTCGATGTCACGACTCGGGGTCCGTGGTGACGCAACTCACCAAACACCTGCTTTCACAGGTGCCCCCTGTGGGGGCGGAAAGATGGCGATGAAATCTGAATCTATGAACGAATTGTGCGTTCGACGGTGCAAGGATTACAATGGAGGGGACGACATTTGCTCGTGTCTGTGACTGGAAATGACGGCTAGAAAAGTATTCCAAATTGTCATCTTTTGTAAGATCGTTCATCTCAAAGTGGTAGACCACTCAAGTCTAGCAGACACCTCGCATTGCTTTCATGTGCTTTGTGAACGTTTCAGAAAATGTTCGGGTTTGGTAAAACTGTCTCCACAGTCACCTAACTCTGTAGATTTGTGTTTGTCCATTGTTCCTCGCATTCCCCTTCTCTAGGAATTATTTTCGACAGTCTGTTTTGTTTTTTGTGTTTTTTTTTAATATAAAGGAAGGCCCGACTATAATCCGCTAGCTTTTGGCACATGGCAAAACGTGGATGTAGATGATGCTTGCAAACCATTTGAGTGAGAGAAAAGCGCGGTTTATTACCATTTTATATTTGTCCCTCCTTTCGTACACGTGACCACTATTGTATTGACTTTACTGTCGAATGCAGGGAGAGTTGACAACTATTTGGATTCAATGTCCCCCGCAAGCAATAGCAACATTTTCATACAGTCTCACAAAAAAAAAAAATAAGATGTACTGCTTGGGCACAGCAGCAGAACAAGACATCTATCGTCAGTTAAAATTATCGATAAATATTTTTTTTTCTAGCCTGCGTACACAACAGAAGTGGGTTAAGCGACATCTTGCAGGTTGCCCAGCCGCTGTGTCCACTGAAGAGATCCCCCCCCCCCCCCCCCCCCCGAGATTGCCTTTGATGATGATGATGCTGGGACCAAGAACGACGTGTCGATAAACGGTAGGTAGGGCACAATGGTAGGTGGTGTTTCCTCGAAAGATGACGGGGTACACGTGGCAGAAGATAACGTAATAAGGCAGGCGAGCTGGTTAAAGTTAAACATTTCCAAAACCCAGAACGTCTTGTGTTTGCCCCTCTGTGTAGCTTCAGTCTAGGATTTTAGAAATGTTTAACACGTGACAGTTCGTGAAAACAGATATGACAAAGAACTTTTGTTGCTGTAATCGATCCCCTTGAACTGACTGATGGCGGCAGGGACACCGAGAAGCACCAACAGTTGCGTGAACAACATAAGTGGGGTAAGCGACATCTTGCAGGTTGCCCTGCCGCTGTGCCCAGCAATCCAGACATCTTTTAAATTTAATAGCATTATTTATCACGTATCCGACTAGTGATGCGAGTTATACTTCTGTCACTTGTTCGAGAATGTCAGCGTCCTGAGCCTAGTAGTTGAGATCGGCTGTAAAGGGTTCAGAGCAATTCTATTAGCAAGGTGGGAGCTCTCTATTGAATCAAGTTCAAAGGAGACAAGCGACCACCTGCAATCGCCATTGGGTCCTTCTATTCCAACTTCGATACTTTCAGTCTATGATAGAGGGGATCAAGGAGATAATCGCATCCTGAAGTCGGCCTTCAGAAATCTAAAATGGGTGCCAAATTTTAAAAAAACGAAGCTGCGAACCTTTGGGCGTAGGCACCATAAAAATAATGCGTGTTAATTGTGTTTTAATGCTATTAGGCGAACGACCTTTTCAAGTTAAAATTCGTTAAAGCTTCACTTTTTGGTGTCCACTAGCGGAGCAAAGGGGAGGGAAAGGAAACAAAGTAGCAAAAAATTTCCGAATGCATCTTACTGCCCGAAACTCCACTGGTCTTGGCGCCGGAACGCCTCGCGTAGTTGAAACGGCTGGGCGTTCCAACTACAGGTTGTTTTTTGTTTTGTTTTTTTAATTGAAAAAATTCCCATTTTTGTCGTGGCCTTGACAGCGAAGACAGCTGCTGTCATGGGCAGTGCGGTATCTGCTCGCCGGCGGCCGCCCTCCTTCGTCGCAGCGAGGAAGCGCGACACGCATGATTCCGAGTGCCCGCTAGGGGAGAATCGGGAGCTCTAGGCGCGCTATCGGTGCTGTATGCGTGCTATCTAATGCAAATTGGCGGAGTAGATTGTATTCTCCTAGGTTCGAGTGAGCCTCCCTTCAGCTGGCTTGGAAAGGCCGACAACGACGCCGCGACGTATTTGACAGATAGCGGGAGGCGGACAGGCTCAACACATATCCTTCGGCATTTAATGTACCGTTTCCCAAGACAAGCGCGGTGTTAAGTCCTGCTTGATTTTAAATCAACAACCTATTTCGGGGGAGATAAAGCTATTCGAAGAGATGCTGAAGGAAAAGGACGTGAGAATGTGATGTCATAACTACAAGCTCCTATTGGAAGGATAGATGCACTGACTAACAGCCTTTGCCAGGTTGTTCCGTCCAATCGGAGCCAACAAAGTCGTCGTCTGTCCCTTGAGCAGGGTCTGGTGTTCGACGTTTGAAGGCTGGACCTTGCGTTGGGGAGTTCGAACGCCAGACCGGGCTTGAGAAGCAGACGACGCTTTCGTTCGCTTCGATCGGACCGCTTGTAGAGACAAAGGCCAGCTAGCGTCTATTCTTCCAATCAGAATTCTACGCTGTGACGTCCTGCTCTCCTTCAGTCTTGCTCTGTACAGAACGCCGCTCCTAACTCAGTTTCCGAAAAGCGCTTTCAATAAAGAAGCGGTCACAAATGCAGCTCAATGAAACCGGCCGACAGTCAAAGAGCACGTGCCTGCTTCATGGAGGTCTCGGCAGCTTCGTTGATGGCGTTGTTGCGAAGTTCGGTGTGCTTGGGACCGCCGTTGGCCGTCGGCGTGGTGGCCACATCGCTCTTGCCGTTGATCCGGTTGTTGGTCACACCTGCAATAGCCAATCCCTCGTTCAAAATCAACCAAGTGTGTGGCACGCTCATTGTCAATAACCCTTTGGCTGCTCCGTTTCGTTTTAACTTGGCAAATGGCGCAGGACAGGGCCCCAGTAAACCAATTGGCGCGTGTGAGTGAGGCACGCCTGAGGACGCACATCGGCGGAGTGCTCTTCGGCTAGCTGTCACGGCACTTCATTCCGTTGCTCCGATGGGCACGATGAAGCATTCGCTCTTTGACAAGTTACGGTCAAAAGAAGTATATCGTATGTCGCGAGAGAAGCGGCCTATTCTGACTTTTACGACGCGCATTACGGCGTAGGGCCATTAGCCGCACGTCAAACAAACATCCCTAGCGAACTCTACACTTTAGCGCAACTAAAGAACATATTTGCGAAGAGGGCGTTATCGCTGGAGCATGCTGGCGTCTGCAAGAAGCTGCTTCTTTCTCGTTGTACTGTTACACGTAGGGCTCTTGCGTTCTCTATAATTTTTTAGTAGAAAGAGGCCTTTTGAACTTTTAAACCTACTTGAAATAAAGAAGAATTGAGAATATATTTTCAAAGTTTAGTTCACTTCCGTTAGAACAAGCATATAACCCACGTGACTCATTCGAAAGAAAAAATCGCGAAAATCTATCGTGTTTAATTTTTACTAACAGCGTTTCGCATAGTGGAATACATCTAACGTAGAAGTTTGGGCTAGTTGGTATTTCATGATTAAAAATTAAAACAGAGCAAGGACACGCACAGGAACAAGAAGGTAGACGAACAAGAAGGTAGACTAACAGCGCCTTGTTCGTCTCCCTTCTTGTTTTTATCCGTGTCCTTGCACTGTTTTAATTTTAAATCAAGGAATACATCAGTATTAGGACATGATGATAAGGACAAAGATATACTCTGAGAATGGGAAACACTTTGAAATTTTTTTTTTTTTTTCAAATTCGAAGACTCGAAATGATTATTACACAAACCTTAACGTGGAATTTGCACATTTAAATCGTGCTAAAGAACGGAGAAGAACTCTTGGTTTTCTACGCATTAATTTATATCGAGCATCACCTCTTACTAAATTCACAACATAAGAAACATTCGTTCGCTCGGAGCTAGAATACGGAAACCTAATCTGGAACCTTCTCCAAGCCCACGTGACTAACAATCTCGAATCCCCACAAAACAAAGCGGCCCGATTCATTCATCAGAACTACTCACCCCGCACCTGCGTGTCACAACTCAAATCTGAATCCAGTCTTTCGGCTTTTCTACAGTTAGAAAACTGTCTCGGCTCTGCTTCTTTCGCAACTTGTACTATAACCTTTCTTATTGAAGATCCACTTATTGTCATCCTCCTTCATACCTCTTCGGTGCGAGCATCCTCTCAAAATTGAACTATTACCATAACGCACTAATCGGCACAAATTTTTCCCACTTTCGCTATGCATCAACCTTGTGCAATTCGCTGACTGGCCTTACTGTAGCCGATACTAACCATGTTTCGTTCCACTCCAAGTGCAAAGCCTTTTTGGATATGTACTATCATGTTTCTTTCTTCTTGTTTTAACTAGATTGTTTATTGTGATATTTTTAGTAATACTTTGTTGACTTGTTTACCCCGCTCCTCATGTAATATATCCGACGGATGTTTTTGAGCACAATAAATATAAACACAAGTTTCGTACAGAAACTAATATTTTGAAACAATACCTGAAATTCAGAGGTAACCGTATGTGTCTACAACGCACTAGTGTTGTACTTGGCGTGCGCTAGGCCGCTGGCGAAGACTATGCCAGAGTCGTGGGCAAACATGGGACACTCTTCTTTACAGGGGTCTTTCTCCCCCGATGGGCCTCACTAAACTTGGGAGGCACGCGCCCTGCGCGAACGCTTAGAAGAACTCAAATACTCCGGCAACAATAAACCACTCCCGAAAAAATAATAAAGCACCTTAGTGTAAGTAAAGCAGCACCTAACGACACTGAACCTAGCACCTAACTAAACTATTTTGACAGTATGTTTTTTATTATTGTTTTTAATGTTTTTTTTTTTTTTTTTTTTTGCAGGGTAGCAAGAAAGAAGGATGCAGGGACAATTTCTGTTCAGATCCCATCGTGTAATCCACATCAATTTGCGCACGTTCTAAAGAATATATTCACGGAGAAGACACGGACATGGTTCTTTTGCGCGCTCTTTCTTCTCAATGCCTGATGCGTTTGATAAGGTACCGCATTCAAAATTATTCCATAAAATCGACGTTATTTTTCGAAATCCAAATGTGCCGAAGTGGTTTTCTTCTTATCTTCCCTTTGGAGAGCAGTATGTGCAGATAGGGGAGTATCGATCTAGCCTCTCACCGGTCTCGTCAGGAGCGCCGCAGGGAAGTGTTTTGGGTCCCCTTTTATTTTTGATTTTTATAAACGATTTGCCCAATTATATTACAGTACCTATAAGACTTTTCGCTGACCACTGCATGATATACAGTAAGATAAACACACCGGAGGATCAGGGTGCAGTTAATAACTTACAAAACATAAATCACTGGTGTGAAACGTGGCAGATGGTGTTAAACCGGAAAAAAATTTTTATGACAATAGCTAGAAAGTAAAATGTTTTAAATTATGACTGTAGCATAGAAAAGTCAGAAACTTTCTAGAGTCATGGAATATAAGCATCTAGGTTTGACATCTACCTCTGACCTGCGATGGAATAGCCACACATGCAATGTGTGCGTTAAAGCTAATAGAGCACTATGGAGCCTCAGACGAAACCTATCTAGTGCTACACCCGAAATAAAGGCTCTTTCATACAAGACTCTCATAAAACCTATTATTGAGTATCCAAACATTGTGTGGGACACACATGCCTTGACAAATTCTGCTAAATTGAACAAAATTTAGCGACTATCCTCCAAATTAATTTATATATAACAAATATAGCAGTGCTTATTCTCCAAATGAACTATGTGAACTCGCAAAGCTCCCAACTTTGGAATTTAGAATAAAATACGATTGCATGATTTCTTTTTCTAGATTATTCGTAATCAAGTAAAAACAAATTATTCAGACTACTTCGGAATTCGCTCCAATGAATCATTAAGACACCGCCACACCATGTGCATTCCAAGTCCGTATGTACGAAATGATTGTTTTAAGTTTAGTTTTATTGCTAGAGCCATAACCGAATGGAACATGCTACGGAACGGTACTGTTTTATCAGCGTCACTAAGTGTATTTCTTAAAAATATTGAAACGACTGTTTTATGTTTTACTTATTACATTTAATGTATTTAACTACACGCAGTATCATTTCAACTTCTGGAGATATGTTTCTTTGATTCTTCCTGATCTTTGAGTGCTGTACATTTATAGCGTAATTTATGTATACTTGTTTTTGTTTATTGTTCCGCCTTATATTGTATATTGTTATTACGGGAAAATTATTATCTTGTAACAGCGTCTTGTACCAGCGACGAAGGAGTTCAGTGCATGTGTATGTTCCTTGGGTCTATCTTGCATATATCTTCCTTTGTTCAGCTGGAAAATCTCACAAGCACATAATGATGGTCCAAATTACGAGTTAAGTCACACTTTATATTGCGACTTAAACGCGATTGGTAGCGCACCATTTATTCTTTAATTTAAACGATTTCCCAGGCCGTTAACGAAAACGTTGACCAACTTCATTCATATTTTTAGAAAAAAATTAAGGAGTGTCTAAGTAGATAGGTAACCGCTATAAAAGAAAACAAAAGGAAGTAAGTGTAATACATGGTTCAATTGCAACCTACTGCATCTTCAAAAACAAACAAAGCGGATAAAAGAAAACAGGATGAATGTGTCAGCACTACGCGATGAGCTCTCTCAACTAACAAGTGCCAAATAAACTTTCCACTAACGCTACACAATTTAAAAAAAGTCGTATCGAAAAACCTTGAAGCTTTCGTTTATTGCGATATCATTGTTGATGACGGCCTCGCTATTGCTAAGAATTTCAGCGATTATTTCGAGTCCATCACACGCATCAGCGAGCTTATGCCTAATATTCTATCTAGCGAGAAAATTTGAGGCTCTACTTAATCCCGCTATTAATAATTATTCCAATGCAAACAGTGTTCCAGACTTTTTTTTTTTTTTGGTGGAGTGCGTTAAACGGTGTTTTCATTTATTGTGTTTTGTTGGTGAAATATTTTCCCCTACACAATCGTCTCTCGAGTTGCAAGTGTAACAGATTTGATTTCGTAGATATGTCTTGCTCTAGTAGACCCCTTCGAACTGTCGTTCCATTTCTTTGTTGATTTCCTGTTCGAAAATGTTTAGCATATTGTTTCTAAATGTATTTCAAATTTTCTCTACTATATGTGTAACCCTAATCAGCACGGTTTTAGGTAGGGTGTATCTGCGGCAACGTGGAAGGTGTTCCTGACTTTTCGCGAATGCTTAACAGGGTGCATCAGGTGGACGTTGTCACTTTAGAGTTCGCCATGGCTTTTTGTAGAATGCAGCACCAAACTCTCCTAGCCAAACTGTCATCGATATTGACAAACGATACGCTGTTATGGCTTCAAGATTACCTTTGTAACAGACGACAGTTTGTGGAATTAAACGGCTGTAATCATCCAGATCCGACGTATCCACGGGAATTAGTCTGCGATACCTCCCGAGTTTCTTTGTCGGTTTTGTTTTGTTGTTGTTATTGTTGTTTTTCGATTTTATGAATATTAGAGTGCATGGCATTCACGTTACCTTGTCTCTTTTTGCGGAAGATATTCTTTACACCGATAGGTTCATATTCAGATCAAAGCAATCTTAATGACAACTTAAACAAAATTGCCGGGTGATGCGAGGAGCAGAAATACTTTTAAATCATAATAGATATTTATATATGCACATAACGCGAAAAGGACCACTTTGCTAACTGCAACGTATATGAAAACCCTCTTGAGACACATCTTAAAGATACCTCGTAGTGATTTGTCATAAACGATCTACGAACAAA